GCTACGCGTAAATAGATCTCCTACTGTCCCATAGTGCGTAAAAGGTAGCCTGCGTACGTCCGAAAACCAATCATGTTTCTATATTCTCCCAGAGTTCTATGATGGAAAGCCAAAAACCGAAATTCATTGGTCACGCTATTTATAAAAACGCATCATGGGACAGGAGGGATAACAAATTCGCGTACTGTTCGCACACACACATTTTTACAGATAGTCGTATTAACTTCTATAGGACTTGTTCCGAGAGACAGGTGTCAATTAAAGAAAAATCTGTTCTGTCTATACATTTATATCGCCATAAATATGAATTCAAATGATTTATTGTTTTATATTTGTGCACTTCGTCAGCAAATGTATTCGAACACTGTTGATGGTTCAGCTGTACATTTAAAATTGCGAAAATTAATAGCTATTTGGTTATTAATAAAAAAAAAAAAGGGAAATCCACGACCAGCTGTAAATTTTGGGTTCATCCAATATTTTCTTATGAAAATCGATTACTTCAAGGAGCAAGTAATAATCTTGTAAAAGAATTACAATTCCACAATGACAATCAATTTTTTAATTACTTTCGTATGAACATGGAAATGTATAAAGAATTGTTAAATTTGGTGGAACCACTTATAGCGAAGCAGGAATGTATTCGAATGCCAATACCTGCAAACACACGTTTGGAAATTTGTTTGCGCTATTTAGCTTCTGGTGATAGCATGAAATCACTTTCTTATGCATATCGAGTTGGACACAATACCATTTCAAAAATTGTGTCAGAAACTTGTGAAGCAATCTGGACGGTGTTAAAAGATAAAGTTTTTCCATCATACAGTGAAGATACCTGGAAGAAGATTGCTAACAAATTTGAAAATCGGTGGAACTTTCCTAACTGCATAGGCGCTGTAGATGGAAAACACGTTATGATTCAGGTATTAATTTTTCAAAATTTTATTTAAAAAAAAATTTCATATTTTAGAAAACTTTTTATTTTTCTTGTTACAGGCACCTCCACACAGTGGCTCAATATATCATCAGTGATATATATCCCACAGTGGCTCAGACACGTTTTATCAAGCATTATAAAAAAAATTTTGTACCGATAGTAACAATTGAGTTTTGATCAACATTAATAAGATTTTCTCTCTCATCATAATTCGCAAAGCATCGATGTTCCCATAAATTTTGACAAGCAGTATTCAGTAGCCATCCACAGTATCCGCACTTCAGTTGCTAGAAAAAATATAATTATGAAAGAGGGTTCTTTTGACCCTCCCAAACATGATCGAAAGTCTGTTTATAATTATTGTATAATTTGTGTCTATGCTTATAACATTCGTTTGTTATCGATTAATACATATTATCTGGCTCATAGCCTTTCTATTATATTAATTATTATTAATATTTTATATTTAACTATTAATATTATTAATATTACAATTAAGTTATTACATAAGTATAAACATAACCCTATGTTAGGTACGAGGTCTACAATGTGATAATATTAATTAATATATACTTACAGAATTTGATGTATTCATTATTTTTTAAATTTTTGCTGATATAAACAGACCACAAATTGAACCTAAAAACGATTTAATTATGGAATTGACTTAAATTTGATGAAGGGAAGAGAGATTATATTGACTTATATGAATACACACATACATTGATAATATCGCGTTATACGCCAAAAGTAGAATTTCGTACCTGCTTTTGGCGTAAAACGCGAAACTAAAACAGCGGATTGCTTCTGATTGGTTACGCGGTTATGCGATACGCGGCAAATACGCTTCATGGGACTCCACCACAAGAGTGGTTTCACAAAATTTTCCGATTTTAATAATTTATTCGATTATCCGCTCATATATACGCGATGGAAAGGTACCGGTTCCCCATGAGGCGTACTTTTCGAGATGCGTAGGTTACGAAAACCAATCGTAAATTCATTTAGCATTTCTGTTAGAGGGTACAACAGAAATTCTAATCAGCAATTGGTTGCATTAGTTCCGCATTTCTCTAATCTTCCGCGAAATACGCTCAATGTAAATGCGGGCTTTCAGAATGGCGTATTCTAGTAAATAAAAAATAACATATTCTAGTAAATTACTAGAATACGCAGGTTACGCTTACGCAGGTTACGCCGCATGTGACAGCACCCTAAGATGCGCAAGGGAATGCGTAAGCTATACAACAGAGTGCTCGGAAACACGAGCATGTGTGCAAGGTGTACACATATTGGGCCGATTTTTGAAGCGCCGCCTCCTTTTCCCCCATCGCCTATTACCGTTCAACGCTCGACGGCTGAGCTGATCCGCCTCGCCGGATCGCGAGCGAACGTGTATCTCTGGAGCGTCGCACTATAAAGAAATATGCTGCGACCGTACTTTCCAGCAAATATTCATTACTAGGACTCAGAAATTCGTGCGCGATTCCGTGTCGCGCGCGGAGCACCACTGCGTGCGAGTGAGTCGAACACTCGCGCGATAGATAGGCGCGGTTTGATAACGTTTTTTCAACGGAGAGTCCGTAATGCTGACGAATATGTTATATCGAATCATTATTGTTTGTGGTATTTCTGCGACTGTATACAGGGCCTAACGTATGTACTTCTCTATGTTCTTTTGCCGCACGCAGTTTACGAGAAATCATTGTTTAAAATATAAAGTATTTATGTGCTATATGATATCTAATTAGTAATATTGAGCAGCAAACGTGATCGAGCAGATTTTACGCGTGGCTAAAATACATATTGATTTTTATTCACTTTACAGGGTCAGCACGTACGTACTTTGCATGAATATTTTAAACAAGGATTTTTTGTAAACTTTTGATCATTGGTAAAAACGAATGATATATTAGGGAGTTTTTGCAATACCGTTTATCCAGATACGGTGAACGTTAAGGTCAGGTTATCTTCTTCTTAACAACTAATTAAGAAAAGGATAACATGGCTTTAGCGTTCACCGTATCTGAATTCACGTTATTGCAAAAACTCCCTATTATCTATCCTTTTTAACTAACTTCTTATACCGTTCATCTATTTCTCTGTATAACCATGGTGTAATAAGACAAGGTGTAAGTCCGGATCTACAATAGATGTTTTAAGGCGATGCTACAGCTCCCTGTTTTACCACATTTCTATTCGGTGAAAAATCTCTGTATTGGATGTATGGATTGCAAAAGTATTATTACTTAAATTATAGTACGCATCAACA